TTTGGAATTTCCATCTCTCTGTTTATAGTCCCCATCTGTTCCTGCATGTTGTCTACTTTTCCATTAGAATCTCCAGCATATTAATCCTAATTGTTTTAAATTCACAGTCTCATAATTCCAACATCCCTGCCTTATGGGATTCTAGTCCTGATGCTTGCACTGTCTCTTTAGGATGGTTTATTATTATTATTATTATTATTTTACTTTAAGTTCTAGGATACATGTGCAGAACGTGCAGGTTTGTAACATAGGTATACACATGCTATGGTGGTTTGCTGCACCCATCAACCAGTCATCTACATTAGGCATTTCTCCTAATGCTCTCCCTCCCTTAGCCCCCCACCCCTCGAAGGGCCCTGGTGTGTGATGTTCCCCTCCCTGTGTCCGTGTGTTCTCATTGTTCATCTCCCACTTATGAGTGAGAACATGCAGTGTTTGGTTTTCTGTTCCTGTGTGAGTTTGCTGAGAATGATGGTTTCCAGCTTCAGGGTTTGCTTGTTGGTTGGTTGGTTTGCCTTTTAGTATACCTTGTGATTTTTTGTTGTTGTGTTGAAAACCAACATGATGGATGGGGTAAAAGAACCACATGAGCTTTTCACGATGTGGTGGGAAGGAGCGTGTGGGTGAGTGTTGGGGATGGGACTTTCTATAGTCTTATAATTACTTCTCCACTTGTACCCTGGGCTGTGAACTTCACAAGTGCTTCTCAGTCCCCCTCCACTCCCACCACCTTAGGTGGGACAGGTTGGCTTGGGTGGGCTGGAATTGTTTTCTCCCCTTTTCCAGCAGCGGGAGGTAGAGTTGGGTACTGCCCACCTCCCAGGTCAGTTAGGGTCTGGTTAAAACTTTCACAGTTTAAGGTCGGGTGAAATAGTTTCTCTTGCGGGCAGGCCTTGTTAAGAAGACAGAATGCTCTGGAATATTTTAAGATGATTCTCTTTCCCCTCTCCCTGCCAGAAGCATGAGTAGGATTTTCTTGGATTTTCATTGTAAGAACTTAGAGGAGCTCCCACAGGTAAAATTTACAAAACTGCGAACTGCCCCCACTACCCCCCAACTCCGCCGCGTCTATATTTGGGCTCCCCTGGAGTTTTTGACTCTCAGACTTGTCCACACCAAGTCTCCAGCAATTTGTCAGTTACAATTTGGGTTTGGTGTCCATGGTGGTTTCGTGTATGGGTTTCTGCTCTGGTAAGCTATGATTCTCTATATCTGCTTGTCAGTCTCAAATTTTGGGACCTGTGGCTTGCCTTGTGACCTCACTTTTCTGACAAATCTAAGAAGGTTGTTAATTTTTTTGTTTGTTAAGCATTTTACTTGTTGGGATAGAGTGACGATTTCCAAGCCTCTTACAAGCCCACAGGAAACAAGAAGGCTGACTTATTTGAGTACAAAAATTTAATTCATTCATTATATTTTATAAAAAGATTTTGGAAACCTTTCTCGGCTGTAAAAGGAGCCTCTTTGGGAGGCCGAGGAGGGCGGATCACAAGGTCAGGAGATCGAGACCATCCTGGCTCACATGGTGAAACCCCATCTCTACTAAAAACAAAAAATTAGCCGGGTATGGTGGCGGGTGCTTGTAGTCCCAGCTACTCCGGAGGCTGAGGCAGGAGAATGGAGTGAACCCGGGAGATGGAGCTTGCAGGGAGCCAAGATTGCGCCACTGCACTCCAGCCTGAGCGACTAAGCCAGACTCCATCTCAAAAAAAAAAAAAAAAAGGAGCCTCTCTAAGCATTTCCACTATCCTCATGGTTTAATTACTCAGTATATGCAGATGATTCTCTATATTATGTCTCTGACCCTGACTCTTTGCTATGCTATATATCCGCATGTCCATCTTGCTACCAGGTTGATATATTTGAATAAGCAAACCTCAGACTCACACGTCCACAGCTGCAGTCAATATTTCTTTGTCCCTATTCAGAGATCTTTACTTGCCTCCTGCTCTTCTCACAGCCTCTGTCTTCCCAATCAGTGGTGCTGACAATTACCCAGTTCCCCATGTCAAGAAAATAACAACTTATCTTTCCAGACTGCTAATCTCTCACTGTCCCACATCCAGGCAATGAATAGGACCTGCTGCTTTTACTTCCTGAATGTTTCTTGGACGCATTTCCCATCTCCACACTGTTACCATGGTTTTAGCTTGAGCCACGTGGACTCATTCCTGGATATTGCAAAAGTCTCTTATGTCTCCGTATCTTCAAAGTCACTCTTACGTAATCTCCTCCACACACTACACAGAGTGTCCTCTCCACAGCTACACATTGCAGAAGTCACCAAATTTGGTTACTTATTCTTTTCCACAGTCTAATCTCCATTCCACTGTACTGTGCTCCTTTTTAAGATGTTATCGTGTCTCATTAATTAGGACAGCATAGTCTGATTTCCTCCTCATAGAACTAGCAACAGTTTCTCATTCTTTCTTGGTCCCTAGTCCACGTCCCTCTCCTTCAAGTGATTGGTCCTCATTGCAGCCTACCTGTAAATACGTGGTGCAGGCTGATGGCCCTAACGCCTTCTATTACTGCACACACAGGCTTTTGTGCAACTACCATGTACACGCTCACGGATCTGAATTATCTTTAGTGCAAATGTCTTTGCTGAAATGCAGCTGTGCCTAGGACCAGAATTCCAAATACGACATGGCTCAAATTGAGCTCCCCACTTTGTTCCCAATCCCACTTTTCTTTCTGTTCATGTGTTTCCTGTGGTAGAGTTAACATTATCATCCATCCACTTGCCCAGGTCAGCATACAGCATACACAGACCCATACCCAGTCTTCTTTTTACTTTAGAGACAGTAATTCCCTGGGCAATTCCCTCTTGTCCCTATGGTTCTAAATAATATTTAAGTGTTGATAGCTCCAAAACCCCTACCTCCAGCCTGGAACTCTTTCATACGTAACTCCCTGCTTAATACCTCTACTTGGTGGGCAAAATCATACTTACTGTTTTGGTATTCTTTAATACTACTCCGCCATTATTCCTTCCCATCTTGGTTAATGGTACCATCCTCCCATGTCTCTGGCTCAAAACAGAGGAGTCCAGCTTGATACCTTTTGTTCTTACTTCTCATACTCATTCTATCAGCCCATCATATCAGCGTTGTGTCTCCTGAATTCTAAACCAAACCACTTCTCATCATGTCTCCTGCCTCTACGTGAAGTCATTTGTTTTTCCCT